CTGGAGAGAGACCAGTGCAAACCCGAGTGTGTTCAGAAGAGGCTGTGAAGTGTCACCCATCTCTGCCCATCAGTGGTGGCATAAGACATTTGTTCGAGACGCTGGGATTGTAAGGGGATTGGCCCCAGCGTGGACACCCACGGCTCACCCCACTGGCGCTCCAGTGGGATCGCACCCTTTAACGCGCAGCAGGGCTTGGGGTGCGGAGAAGAGGGAGCCCCTCCTAGGGTCCGACCTTATCCTGAGCCCCCACCTGGGAGCCAGGGAAGACCGCTAACTCCTAATTCTGCCAGCTTGACTGTTTCACTGTTGTGTGAAGAGAAGCTGTCTTTCCTGTTTCTGTCTCTTTGGCTTCTGTCCCAGAATCTTTTGCAAAATGGCTTTTTGGACGTTTAGGAGGACAATATAGGGTCCTTGGGGATGAGGTCCTCTCATGCCTCCTGGGGCCATGGCCCTTGGTACCCCTGGTTCTTGAACCCCCACTGGCCTTTGGGCGGCAGTCTGTGGCTGGGGCTCTCGGGGTCCTTGTCCTTACAGATTTGTCTTATGTTTTTGATGACTTCTCTCTGTTCTTCACCCTCTTTTACCTTCACTCCCTAAACAGAAGGCAGGTATTGCTCAAGGTCCAGCCTGAGCTTTTCACTCTCTTCCTGCAGAGTGAATTCACCCACATCCAAAGTGAGTGGGGAAAAGTACTCAAGCCCCTTCCAACACTGAACCATAGACGCCCCGACACCCCCGCTGGGGTACACAGCGGGTGTCAGCCATCGTCCTCTGGCTGGTCAGCATTGCTTTCGCTCTCCCTGACGCAGACCCTCAAACCAGGCTGCATCCCACGGATTCCTCAGCACCCACCTGGCTTCTACGGAGATGTTACCTCCCCGACTGAGCCAGCCCCCAGGGAGTGAGCTCCAAGCCCTCAGGTCAGCCCAGGAGGGGCCTGGGAAAACCGCATCTCAGGGCCGCTACCCGCAGTGACTCAGCTGAGACCCGGACACAAGCATGTGATGCAAATCGTTCCTTTGGGAGGTGCTGCCAGGAAGCACTGGTGGGGAGTGAGGAAGTAAACAGGGAAAGGGGAGCCATGAAGGCTCGCATTAGCAAGCTAACTGCCGCTGGGCAACGGGCTTTATCCCCGCTCCCCCCTCCCGCCCCCCAGACGGGGGAGCTGAAGCAGCGCGCGGGAGGGCGGCAGAGGGAGCGGATCGGTGCGGAGGGCGCTGGGAGAACGTCCCTGCTCTTAGACGGTGTACACGGGCGTCTTCAGGAGTCAGCGCTGTGATGCGTTCCTTCAGGAGATCCAAGGGAGAGAGAGAGAATATACTGGAAAATCCTGATATCAGCAAGGA